GGAACATCCTATACAAGGAAGTGTACAAGTCGTACAAAGCCAGTAAACATCCGAACCGGCACATGAAGCAGAATTCCGTGGCCAATTTTTATCGCTGTGAAGCGTTGAGGGAATTTATATCTGTAATAGTAACCAGTTCATTTTTGTTTGCTAATCTAGGTAAGTTACTTAATTATCTTAAAGATAAATCGTCTAGCTCAATCATTTGTAGGGGTAAGTGCTGGGACAATCATCATCATGATATGTTTTATACTTGCGTCACGAGAAAGCCCATATGTAGTGGGTAAAAAGAACACTTAACAATTTTGAGTGCTTATTTATCATTATAGTAATCAATTCAGCACACAGGTCTTTCATTGAAAACAGCAGTAACAAGTCCCAGTCAAGGAGCAACGAGTGGAGCAAATCGGCGAAACCACTTATTTGAGGTACAAGATCTCTGGAAGGTGATGGCATCATCGTTGCTCCACCCACGTCCAAAGATGTATTCTGGATCTACCTCTCTCATTTCCATCCGTCCATGAAAGCTGATACCGTTTCCATGCTCGCAAAAGAAGCTTTGGATTGTAATGATGCTGTGAAAGTGATTCCATTAGTGCAAAATGGCGCAGACCTAAACTCATGTTGCCGGAAAGAATCCTGTTCGGGAAATTCGTAGACAATCGTGCAAAAAACGCGCAGGCGCCCGCATCTCCAGAGCCATCGAATGGGTCGGATCCAGATACTCCTTAAGATTACCTATCGCTGTTTCTTCTCTTCCGGGATGCATCGTAGACCGTAATATGGAAGATCCTGCTCCGTCCACCATGGAAGTCTTCCCGGCCCTGTGTGGGATTGTGAAAAGGGTCTTCCAGACTTCACTACTAGGCAAGCACTCGCAAAAGTCGCTCAGCAACATATCTCCTGATGATATTCCCCTTACCAGTAGTGGTTGCTCTGGTTGCACTAGAACACATTTCAGAAACTATCACGCTGGTCCCTATTCCACTGAACTCTGCCGCGCTGGTTCGTGTAGTATTGTAGTTGCAGTCATCCTGATCTAGCAGTTGAAAGTGAAACTCCGTTTCTTCGTCAATTCAGTCCGAGAAGAGGCTTGCTCATCAAGACAAGTATCAATGTAATAATGTAATAAAGTGTGTTCCCTACACTGAAAATGTTTCGCCCCACAGTTGGACTACTTGTTCTGTCACTGCACACTGTACCTGTCACATTGTACTTCATTCTGAACACGCTGAAGATGCTTCAAACATTGGATTCCCGGAACTCGTCGTAGACAGCACTTTGAAAGCCCTCGATCTCTCCGACACGGTCCTTCACAGTCCTCCCGGACCCGTTGTTGCAGTAGAGAGAAGGGCTTCCAACCTGCTTTAGTAGGCAAGTACCACGTTAATGTAGGATTGCCTCTTCCTGATGTCTGTTCGAATTCCAGTGGTATTGTATGCAGCTCTTCACCTCCATCGACCGACAACGCATCTGTTGCAGTTAGCGCGGTAAATGTAGCTCATCTCCTGCGCCTCTGGTACCAGAATGTTCGAGGACTACGGACCAAGGTGGATTCGCTCTTTTTATCTACTAATGAGTGCGTATTGACGGAGACATGGCTCGATGACCGTTTATACAGTGCTCAGCTGTTCGGGAATGCCTTTTCGGTGTATCGTACAGACCTTAATGCCTCCAACAGTGCAAACACCCGTGGTGGAGGTGTCCTAATCGATCCGACACCTGTTTCGGATGCTTTAGAGCAGCTGTGGATTAGAATCCCAACGCCAAGTCGAGTTATTATTGTAGGCGTGATCTATTGCCCTCCTGACCGCCGCAACGATGTCATTAGTATTCAGGACAATGTGAACTCTATCGGTACTATTGCTTCCAATTTGGAATACAATGACTATGCTCTGCAGTTCGAAGATTATAACCAGCCTCGACTCTGATGGAGTAAGTCGGACGATGGGTCTTACCAGGTTGAGCCTCAATTGGTTCCATCGACTGCTAGTTCGACGCTTATCGAAGGTTTCGCTTTACATGGCCTCACGCAGATCAATGGGAATGCTCGCTTTCTAGACCTTGTTCTTTCTAACGAAGCTGCAACTCTGACTCTGCGACTCTGCGACTCTGACGTTTCGGAAGCCATAGAACCTTTGAAGCACCCCACTCTACTTTAGACGTCCTGATGAAACTCCCAGCGCAAATCGTTTTTGAGGATTGCTCTGAAAATAACCGTACACTGGATTTCCGTCGAGCCGACTATGCTGCGATTAGTGCTGCTATTTCCGGCATCGACTGGCGAACATAAGAATCAGCTGGATGTGTTGACGATGCCGTTGAATATTTCAATCAAATTAACATGGCTAAATCGATGCTATGTCTTCCGTATGCAATCATCTCTTCGCAGAAATCCTGAGCGTTTCTGGTCGTTTGTAAACTCATAAAAGAACGAAGTGGGTTTGCCATTGTCAGTTCATCTCGGTGAGCAAACCGCTGAATTTGAACCGGAGAAATGCCGCCTTTTTGCTCAACATTTCATGAGTTCGTTCAATGAACCTTCGGCCTCACTAAACCAAGTCACGATCGCTATAAACGATTCTCCGACAGATGCATTTGAGCTCCGTCCGTTTCACATCAGTGAACATACCGTCAATCTAGCTCTTCAAAGGTTGAAACTCTCGTTTGCTGCCGGGCCAGACGGCATTCCTGGGTCCGTTCTGAAGCTGTGTTCGAAGTCTTTGCTCACTTCCTTGGTGAAGCTATTTAATCTGTCACTACAGGAGAGTAACATTCCTGAGGCATGGAAATGTTCGTATATGTTCCCCGGCGATAAAAGGAATGTCCAGAATAACAGAGGCATCACATCATTATGTTGTTGCTCCAAAGTATTCGAGATCATCATCAATGAGACGCTCTACCCAAAACGGTCAGTTACAACCAATTTAACTGAATTCGTGTCGCTCTGCGTTCGGACCATGGACTCTGGCGAACAAATCGACGCTGTTTACACTGATCTCAAGGCTGCATTTGACCGAGTAGACCTCAACATTCTTTTGAGTAAGCTTGAGAAACTGGAAACTGTCTGGATCCTTCATCTCGTGGTTCAAATCTTACCTTACCGCTTTGCGTTAAGATTGGAGCTTCTCGTTCTGAAGTGTTCACGAACGTTTCCGGCGTCCTCCAAGGAAGTAATCTGGAACTCCTTGTGTTCTGAAAAAAAAATTCCCCTGTCTGATGGTAGTGTTAGTATGCGTTAGCGAGCTACCAGTTACGCCAACTGACGATGAAATGCTTTGTTTACAAAAGCAGATAAGGGAATTTACGTATTCTCGTCAATCTAAGCAGCGTCCGGAATTTTATTAGCAATTTCTCAGCGTCACACACATACATGACGGGTTAGTTTATTGACATTTATCTGCTGCTTGTTGTTCTATCAATTCCAATCGACAGAATTGATCAAAACGGGTTGAACACGTTTTTACAACGCTCCAAACTTCTCAGGTGAGTGTGACTATTGTCGGCAGTTTCTTTTTCTTCGGCACCCTTTCCATTTGAATTGCGTGTTAACCAGCTGTTCTATTATCGGCAACTTGAAATCAGTCGTATTTTGTAGTGTGTATATTTCATTTAAAGAAAAATCTGGCATAACAGGACTGCTCAGTCGTAAAAATGTAATCAGATTGATGGTGAAAGGGTAATGAATCGATTGAATACGTTCAGCGAAGAGTTTTGATGGGAAAATACAGTGAAATTAACGTTTCAATTTCGATTGCCGAAAACAGTAAATGGGTGCTGAAGCCATAATTTACCCTACGTTTCTTTGAAAAAGCAATCGAAAAGTGTTCTTTTCACCCCTAGTACCCCTACTGATTTTCGTTGTAAATGCGAAATTTTTTATTTGTCATAGACGCTTCAACACATTCGTGACCAATCCGCGGATGACATTTGAACACGTGACTCCGAATAGGTAGAAATTACTCATGAGTTTTATTCCGAAACCAGCTCGAACTGACTCGAGATTTTGACGTATGACAAGAACGATTTTGGAAAAGAAGTAGAACAATCGCCACTATCTCTAATTGTAAATTTGCATAAGGGGCCGTTCAATAATTACGCAAGCACTGTTCTTTCGTTTTCTTACATGGGAGCGAGGGGTCTACAAGTCATATACAGACCATTCAAATATTCGATTACAAAGGAGGAGGAGTGGTTTTGTTAAACATTATTAAGTTTTAAAATGTGGGGATGATAGATTTGAAAATCCTACATAAAGTGCTTACGTAATTATTGCATGATCCCTTTTGCAAAAATGTGATCATTGAAACAAGCAGTTTGAAGATAGAGTCAGTGTATAAGAGTCACGCCAAGAGTCAAATCAGCTTCCCATCTTGCAAAATAAATGAACGTCATGATGCATATGAAAGCTCTACGAAAGGTATTGCAATAAGATATAAAATATATTCGATGAAATGATCAAGAAAACGCAGTGAGTTTTAAGTTGTCATGAGATACGTTTGGTAATGATCAGTAATGAAAATTTGTAATATTTGTTGTTATGATAATTCGACAAAATCACTGGTATAAAGATTTACTACAGCCGCCATTTTTTTCTTTCTCGCAAGAAGTCATTTGAAGTTGATGCAAAAGTTCTCTGTTGCCAAGTGAAAGGGAAGGAAATCTTTCGAAAACCGTGATGCGGGTTTCCAATTTTTTTTTTCTCTTGAAATGACTCTTATACACCGACTCTATTCAGAGTAGGTTAACAGGTTGCGAGCAAGTTCAAGCTGTGTCATTGAACACAGTCATTGATTCGCCACAATTTGTTTACCACTGATTGTACACACATGAATTCATCGGAATATGAATAGTACACTAGGAATATTAAATGTATATTTAAACACACTGATAAAAAACCGAACCATATATTTAAACAAATAAAGATGGGACTAATTAAAGGAACACCAAAAACCAACCAATGAGTACACCCACCCCAACCAAACAATGTAGATACTTACTTCTCGTTCAACGTTTCGACGAGTACCCGCAGGATGTCGGAGCACTGTGAATGGAAATCCAACATTCCTTCGGCAAACGTGACTAGCTGTGAAACCTGCTCCACCTGTGATATCCACGGCAAGCAGCGGGGCATGGGAGGAGTAGTGAAAAGAAAAACGAACCCAAATCAACTCAGGGATCAAACCGTACGAGACGGCGATATGTTGTCATCGTCAGGCACTTACATCATTCTCCAACAGATTGTACATTCCAACCTGTGCCAGCTGCAGGGACTCGGCAAACTTCTCCTCAGCGCTCCGGATTTCGTCATCTGTAATTTGAGATCCTATTGTTCAGTACGGTGCACGTGTTTTTTGTGACCACAGTGTTCCAAAATCAAAAATGTATACAGCAAAGCATTCAAAACGAGCATCAACGGGATACAGCAAACAATCAGGAATCAGGATACATGGTGGCAAAAGGTAAATACAACCAAAATTATCGCAAAACATGAAAATAAAAGAATAAAAAAGAAACCATATCGAATCAAATTAAAATGTCAATTCTAATATATAAGCTTAACTAAAGATCCTAATTGGAAGGAATTAATGGGATTACATATTGAGCAACACTGCGCGCTGCAGGACGGAACCGTGGTGGAGGAAGATAAGCAACAAGGAAAAAGGACAAACACAAAGTTAGCCACTGTCTTTTTGTTGTTGTTGTTTGTTGTCGTCGTCGCCGTCGTCGATATAGCCAACGGGCAGGGAAGCAAGGAGAGTCCCCCATTAATGGATGATTAAACTCTCTACGGCTAATTAAATGAACTGTTTTACACTGACTGCGTATGCCGGATGGTGTCCGCCTGTAAATCTTTCCTTGCGGGGAGTCAGACTAACAAAAGGAAACAAACTGTTGAAAAACAATAGAGACCGGAACGTGGGTAGGAACCTCTGACAAATGCCGGTTGCTTTTAACCGATTGGAGAGAAAACCCACATGATTGATTTGTTTACCATTTTGATGGTGATTGTAATTAGATTTTACCATAGACTGAGTTCATGGCAGAGACACGTTTTTCTGGATTTAAATACCACGGTTTTGGGTTATAGTTTATTCATTTTATGTTATGAATAAACTGTAAATTTGAATTTGCATACTTGGGATTTTTAATGAACTTTTAAAAATTTGATTTTTAACGATTTAATCTACATCAACAGCTATAGATTGACAAACCATTAACTTTTATTTGATTAAATGTGTAGGCTAACGTAAATGTTTCAATCATGGCTATGCGTTCCTAATGAAGGTGTATATATTTTACGGTTCATAGAATTTCCGAATACACGTATATCTACACCCAACCAAGAAATGCGACATTCTATTACAATGTTTCACCACATTAAGAGATTCTGTAATGTGGTTGACGGAAGAATTTATAAATCATGTTATAATTTTAATATTAGCCAAATTTTCGAATAATGTACTGTGGCTAGAAAATCATCTCGTGAAGATTTAAAACAAAAATATTCATTCTGTTGTACTCTACAGTCCATTGTAATGACTGCCATTATATTTGTTGTAAGAAGACCAGGGTGTCCATTCAAATTCCATTTTTCAATTCCCGGTTTTTTCCCGGTTATTAAAAAAAAAACTCTACCTTAAACAAAAAAGGCGTTCAAAAAACCCTTTAGAGATAATGATAAAATTTATTCAGCAGAGGGCTGGTAGTGGGTTATAAAATAGTATTGACTACAATAACGGAAAAAGTCACCAAATAGTGACTTTAAAACAATTAAAAAGTTACCAAGAGTGACATTTATTGATCGGAAAGATATTAAAGATATGAATCTAATCTGTCGTTGAATGCGATCCGCTGTGACAAATATTATAAATTCTTAAACCATCAAGAGCATTTCACAAACTTTTTTAAAAAAATAAAACAATTGGTTGAAGGGTCTCATAAATTTGTTTTCGTAAAATCAGAATGAATTGGATAATCAATAGGTTAATTTGTAACCTCCATTTCCTCACACAGTAATCATTTTTCTGCCACGATTTTTTGAAACCAACCGTTGAATAAGTTGAATTTAGATTCAGATCGCGAATTGGTTGAATTTCGGGATGTGAAAGATTGAACATAGAAATTTATTAGGAAATCTTGAAATTGAAAAAAAAAATGAGGCGCAGAGAAAAATGTTCAACGTCTTGGACAAATTCGTCAATTTTAAGGCAAGCAATTTTAAAGATCTCGAATATAGAAACTTCTGTAAAAATTCAAACATAGACAAACTTTCATATCCCTGGAACCTAGACAAGTGTTCTGGATCGTATCAATAATTATCATTATTTTGGAACGAGGAAAATTTTCTCGAAAAATCTCGATCTTCAAAAAAGTTGTAATACTATGGTGTATGGTACTTAGTAATTCGTTATCTTTAATTCAAACAAATTAAGAAAACGTAGAATAATTTACGATATGTTAGAATGTAAGTTCACAGTCCGAGAAACATTTAATGATTCTAAAATATAAAAATATTTCATGATTTTAAACATAGAATTTATCTAACATCTGGGATTGGAAATTTGCTGATTCCGGACTTGTAGGAAATACAATTTTATGAGCTTGGAAAAGAATTTCTGAAAAAAAGACGATTTTACTAGGGGAATTTACGGAATCTATAGCCTTTTTCTCTATGGAACGCACACATATGCAGTATTGGTTTATTAACAACCTTTTGCTGCCAGCTGCTCTAACAATTTCAGTCGAAAGAATTGTCAAAAACTGTTTTGAAACGCTTTTACAAAGCTCCAATCTTCTCTAGTGAGAGCGAGTATTGTCGGCAACCAGTTTTTCTTCGGCAACCGTTCCATTTGAACTGCATGTAAATCAGCTGTTCTATTATCGGCAACTCGAAATCAGCTACAATTTGTAGTGCGTGTGTTTCATTTCAGGAAACCCTGCTCTTTCTTAGTGGTAAAAAATAGTCAAATTGAAGCTGAAAGCATAATGAATCGTTTGCATGCATTCAGCGAAGCGTTTTCGTAAGAAAATCCAGTGAAAATAATGTTTCAATTTGGGTTGCCGAAAATAGTCTGTCATGCCGAAGCCGTCATTTCCCCTACATGATTTTTCGATTTTTGCCTATACTAAAGCTTCCGCCCTTCAAAGATTTATCAAAATTCAGGTCTTTGAAAAAATCTCTACCGCTTGGAAAGTTTCCTAGACCATTTTACAACATATTAGGTTTGGAAAACTTTCAAGATGACGAAGAGATATCGGAACCAGAGTTTATTTTTTTTTTCAAAACCATAGACAATGGAAAAAAAATGTATATCCTATTTTTTCTTGAAGATAACGGACTTGAAATAAATTCACTCTGGCCATTCTATTTAAGAATTTAAAAACCTGTTTTTCCGGGTTTTTTTTCAGTTGTCTAACCTAGTTTTCCAGTTTAATTGAAACAGTTAAATATGGTAAAATATCCCAAGTACCGTCATAACTTTTATCGCATGATAAAACCCAAATCCTTACTTGAAGCATAGATTATTATTTCGCTTAACTGTTCACCCTAAAGAATACAGTATGTAAGATGTAGTAAGGTCAAATCATGTTATTTGCAATTGGGGATTGGAATTGAGAAGAGGAAATTCCAATAATGATTTTTTAAATAATCTTAAAAGAATCTTTACAGGATTCCAAGAGGATGATTGGAGAATGCTTAGCAAAAGTATTTTTTTATTTATAGTAATTTTCACACTCTCGGATCATTTGTGATTTATCCTGGTTAGATTTGAACTCATTATTTTGGAGTGAGAGGTATGAATTCAGATCTTTATGTTTTACAGGCCAACCTCGGTATTCAAAGATGTCCTAATCTTGGTATCTGGTTAATTTATCTCTATGTCCGGCGTCGAACAATTGCATACCAAGTATGATCGGAGTTTGCAAGGAGTCTGAGACGGCATAAATCTGCTTCTCTATCTTGAAGTAGCTTCGTAACAGGATATGTCTCGCTCAACCTTTATACTAGAACTACTTCACTTGGAAAACTGTAGCAAAAGAATTCAAGCAATGACACCATATGCATTCCAATGAAACCATATTAAATTCTATAAATTTAGCTATCGTAGTAGGAACAACGACAAAATCACCGCTTGATCCGGGCACGAACAAATTGTGAGTGAGAAAAAAGAATAATATGAAAGTTGTAAGCAAGATAATATAATGATGTATGTGTTATAAAATTGATTGATTCCAAGTAACATTATAAGTTTAAATAACCGGTAAATCCGAATTCCCGGTGTTTTCCCGGATTTCCCGGTTTTCCCGGTTGGATGGACACCCTGGAAGACATGCAGAGGATTTAAGGAATCGACCCTCACATTTGATGTCCATACCATTTGTTTTGCGTGCATGACTAGTTCACGTACATTCTAAAAAATATTGAAAATTACTTGAGCTTGAATTGATATAAGATCTAATTTTGTTGAAACTATCTTCTGGGACTTCAAGTGCACTCAACAAGGCAAGTGAATATTTACATCAATATGTTCAACAATAATTCTTCATTACATTTTTTTAATCAGATGGACTATCCAAGACAAATGACAACATTCTTGACAAACGATTCCTGACTGACCCTGGCCCCTTTCTGTTCCTGTAGTAAATAAAAAAACAGGGAATGGGAGAAAAAATTGAAGCTTAAAATCAAACTTCTTTTGATTTTGGATGCGTAGAGTATTGTCTTCAATGAATGCCATTGTCATAATGAGTTTGTTAGAAATGTTCGTAAACTACATACAGCTCATGCTGTCTTTCTGCATACATGAGAAGACTCATTAGATTTACTGCTGTTTTTCAGAAATGTATGTCTAATATGATGTAAAATTATAGATTTTCAAAAATAAGCAGAATCAGTAAAAATGAATGTAGTATCAATGAATACAGCCTCTCCTGGAGTACAAATCGTTGACTTTATCGGTAAAAAAATCTATGGTACATGCTCAAACATGTTCATGAACCCTAGACTCATCACTCAAGATTAATTCACTGGGCCATACAATATCTTAAGTAAATCGTTCCAGGAAAAAATAGAAAAAAAAAACAATTTTTGAAGACCTTCTCCGATTTGTATGAAACTTAGCTTAATTACTTTCGGCAGCGGGGGTCTTTAGGTAATGATGAAACGTCGCTAGAACTATTCCACAGCCGCAGACAGTATATGAGCAAGTCAAACGCGCACTGTTTCGCCTGTAGATTTGAATAAATACTTCAAATCTCCTCGTACATTGTACGAGTTAGGTGAAGAAGTGTGCGTTTGACTACTGGTACTGTCGCATTAAT